GCATTGAATCAAGTTGAAGCGAAAAAATTATTGCAAACCTGCCTGTGTTAAAGTTGTTGCGTCCGCGATTACAAAAGGAACATTGATGAGACGAGCTAGCGTCTTCGCAAGTAATGTCTTCCCTGTCCTTTCATTCACAGAAAACACAAGTTAGAACACAACGACCAATAAAGTCTACTGAAAGTCTGAAACTACAATTCTTATGGATAGACGACCATATATCATTTCTTTTAATAAGGTAATATAATTTTACTAATAATGGGAACATTTCCGGTGTACTAGCAGTACATACCAAAAAGTAGAGAATGTAGAACACAATATGTTCTCTACGAACAAGCACCTAATCTTCTATACAAAATGAAACTTCATGGGTGCACCAAAAAGAAACTAGGAATGAGAGGCTATTCCTCAAACACTCCTCAAACTAGAATCAGATATCATACCTGAGCCAGTGGGGCCCATCAATAAAACATTGCTCTTCTCTAACTCGACGGAATCATTATCAAACATTTCCAGGTCATCTCTAACTTTACTGGAATCTGAATCTGACCTGACATTAAAATCGGTAATCAGTGACCAAAACAAATAAAATTTACAATGCCTTTTCTCCCAAAGCACACTATTCTGCTTGTTTTAAAATTTTCATCTTATACTTAAAATCTTTTTTCCCATCATAAGTAAGGAAAAGTCATTCAAAGGTGAAATAGCCAACCTAAGCTAGTGTTGGACACAAAAAAGGAGGATCCCTGTACACAATCACATCTGCCAATAATTAAGGTAACTACATCCATAGTTGCGCAATAATCAACATGGTCCATTATGATGCTAAAACACTGAAATAGTACCCTGAAACTCCTCTCTTGCATGTTTGTACCAGAATTAGACATTGCCAAAGAAGAAAACCACCATCAAAGTGGAGGAAGCATGTCTGTTCTCATGGCATCTCTATGTTGAAAGATTTCGTTTCTTCATCTTTGTACTTTATCACTTATTAAATAAATCTTGTCTTTTTCGTAAAGATTAGAAAAAAAATCTTTATGCTCGTTTGTCTTCAAATGAATATGATCATAGTCTAATCTGGCCTCTGAAAGTGTTCTATGCGACATTATCAATTTGATACATTGGATTCTTGGTCACCCTTTAGTTACTATTCCCTCTCGCGCTTGAATCGAATCCTATTAAGTGGCTGCAAAGTCCTTTTACATTTCATGAACACGAAAGGGATTTTTTCAACTTTGAAAAGCATCATGAGCAGGTTTCTGGCAAGAAAATTACAGCATCTAAGGAGAAGTCAAAGTCTTGATAATTGATATTGTTCGAGACAAACAAAACATAAACAAGTTTCTAGATGGAATGGCCAATGATAGGATCAGACTTTCCACTAAGGCAAGACAACTTCACAAGTTCAGCACATTTTAGCTGGATGATATGTCATTTAACAGCTCATATTTACTCACTTTTTATACAAAGAGGAATGGTATATTCGTTTATAATGGTTGTAAACCGCAACAGAAAGCACCTGCAAAATGAAGTATTATCAAGTCAGTAGGAACTAAATTGAATCCCCAGGCTTTTCTCACCCCCAACCAAAGGGAAGAATTAAGTAACTAACCTTGCCAAATATGATCCCTTATGTCTAACCACACTTCATTACTCCAATTATCTACATTAGCCAAAAAAAAAAAATCCAACCATAGCAAAAGCAGAAAAAAGATTGCCTACCTTCTTGGCTCTCTCTTGACCAACAACAAACTGATCAAGTCCTTTACATATCTCCTTTGGTGTAGGCAACTCTATCCCCAAATTAGCACCTCCCCACCCTCCTCCTTCACCACACCCTTCTTCTTTTTTCACCATCGTATCGTTCTCCATTTCAGTATCACAACTACGCTGCCCACCAGCATCATCAACTCCACCACTAGTCCCACTATAAGACCTCAACTTTTCCCAAATTTTACCATCATTCTTCCCACAACTCCCCACCATATCACCATCATTCTCTCTCTCTTTAACTCTCCCAATCTCAATGAAACTCCCGTGCAAAGGCTCCAACTTAAACGGCCTAAAGTAAAACGCCGTCCGGCAATGAGGACACAAATTCACCGCCTGATAAATTCCTGTCTCGCCGGCGGTGATCGACAACGGCCGGTTGGAGAATAGCACCGTCATCAACTTCGAACAACGCGGGCAGTTCACCTCTGCTTTTATATGATCGTAGTTGTCGGAGCTTCCTTCCCATTTATGCCTAAACCCTAACCCTAGTCTAGAACCTTGGAATTTAAACCCTAAACTTATTCTAGAACCTTGGAATGAGTTGAAGAAGAGCGCGGGTTTTGGTTTGGGTTTGAGAGAAGAAGAAGTGGAGGAATGGAATTTGGAAGATGATAGATAAAAAAGAGATGTTCTGAAAGTGAAATTATGGAGCTTTGATTTGTATCTGTATATGGCAGACATTTGTTAAGCCTTCTTCGCCTTCTTCTTTGGTTCTTCTGAGCTCAGTCACGAGCATTTCAATGGAGGTTTTGCAATTGAGAGCGAATTGGTGCGGAGAAGTTGTGGAAGAAAATGGGGCACTCGATACCCGCCCCACTTGGGATTATTTACATCAGGTAGCCACACCGTATTTAAAATGTAGTCAAATTTTAAGAAATGTTGCAAACCTAAAAGAAAAAGAAAAGAAAAAACGGCACAAGTGTTAAAGAAATTAGAGCACAATAGAACAATATATTAATGGAGATAAAATATATATGAGGAAGAATGATTTGTTATTTCTTTTCTTGGTGTGTTGTTCATAGGGTCAAAAGTTCCCTATTTATAAAGGTACAAATACATTCAAAGGTTATAAGTTAATGTACTTCTTAATTGAGTACATGAATACAAAATAAGTTAAATGGACAAACAAATGCATTCCTCTCACTCACATGCATTCATATCATTTATAACACCCCCTTGGATGTCCATTTAAAAGATAATGTGCCTCGTTAAAATCTTACTAGGAAAACCCAGTGGGAAAAAAGCCTAACGAAGGAAAAAAAATGCACATATCTTGTAATACGCATTGAGTGCTGCCTCATTAAAAACCTTGCCAGGAAAATTCAATTGGGACAAAACCTTGGTTAAGGAAAAAAGAGTACAACAAATATTATACTCCCCCTGATGAAAGCTTTATTTGATATCTCAGAGACGACGCATTCCAATCTTATGTCTCAGCTTCTCAAATGTTGATGTTGGCAATGCCTTAGTGAATAAATCTGCTAGATTGTCACTTGAACGGATTTGTTGAGCATCTATCTCATCATTTTGCTGAAGATCGTGTGTGAAAAAAGAACTTTGGTGAAATGTGTTTTGTTATGTCCTCTTTGATATATCCTCCTTTAAGTTAGGCTATGCAAGTAGCATTGTCTTCATACAATATCGTTGGAATCTTCATTTTTAAAGAAAAACCACACAATTGTTGAATATGTTGAGTCACTGATCTCAACCATATACATTATCGACTAGCTTCATGAATAACTATTATCTTTGCATGATTGGAAGATGTAGCAGCTAAAGTTTATTTTGTTGAACGCCGTGAAATAGTTGTACCCTTACAAGTAAATAGATAGCATGTTTGAGATCGGGCTTTATGTGAGTCAAACAAATAACCTGCATCTGCATAACCAATCAACTTTGAATCAGATTCATAAGAATAAAATAATCCCATATCAATAGTCCCTCAGAGGTATCTAAAAATATGTCTAACACCATTTCAGTGTCTTATTGTTGGAAAGGAACTAAATCTTGCTAATAAACTTACTAGAAAAGTTATATCTAGTCGAGTATTATTTGCAAGATACATTAGTGCCCCAATTGCACTAAGATATGGAGTTTCATCACCAAGAAGCTCTCCGTCATTTTTATGAGGTCGAAATAGATCTTTATTTATATCAAGTGATCAATGGATGTGCTTTATCCATATAAAATGCTTTAGGATCTTTTCGGTATAAGTTGATTGATGGACAAAAATTCCATCTTTCATATGCTCAATTTGTAGACCAAGACAAAATTTTGTCTTTCCAAGATATTTCATTTCAAATTCTTTCTTCAAACAGTCTACTGCTTTTGGAGGTTCCTCGGGAGTTCCAATGATATTTAGATCATCAACATACACAACGATTATAACAAATTTAGATCCAGACCTTCTTATAAATACACAAGGACAAATTGAATCATTCTTATACCCTTCTTTCAGCAAATACTCACTCATGCGATTATACAACATTCGCCCTGATTGTTTCAATCTATATAAGAATTTTTAAAGCTTTGTTGAACAAGTTTCTCGAAAACTTTTATTAGTTTCAGGAACTTTGAGCCCTTCAGGGATTTTCATATAAATTTCGTTATCTAATGTGCCATACAAATAGGTTGTGACAATATCCATTAGACGCATATCAAGTTTTTCATGGACTGCCAAATTTATAAGATACCTGAAAGTGATTGCATCCACCACAAGAGAATATATCTCCATATAATCAATGCCAGGTCTTTGCGAAAATCCTTGTGCCACAAGTCGTGCTTTATATCTAACGACTTCATTTTTATCATTTCGTTTTCACACAAAACCCCATTTGTATCCCACTGGCTTTATTCCTTCAGGTGTTCGGACTATACGTCTGAATACTTCACATTTTTCAAGTGACGTTAATTATGCCTAGACAGTGTCTTTCTATTTTTGCCAATCATTTCTCTATCTACACTCATCGATAGATCTTGGTTCAATATTCTTATCTTGTTGCATTATTTCAACAGCAACATTATAAGCAAAAATGTTGTCGACAATAATATTATTTCGGTTCCACCTTTTTGCCGTAGAGGCATAACTTATTGAGATCTCTTTATTCTTATTATTTTCAGGTACCTGGACCTCCTCTGGGGTCTTATCATTTGTTATGTCACAAGGATCTTTTTGAGCAATTACCTCCATATTATGATCTCCTAGATCATTTGCTCCTTTTCTCTTTCGAGGATTTTTATCTTTGGAACCAATTGGTCTACCACGTTTCAAGCGTGGCTTAGATTCATTTGCATTTAAAGATTATCCAACCGAGACATCAATTCGAATAAGAGCATTAGCAGCTGGAATATGTGACTTAGTCACCCTTGGTAGGTTAGTGAATGCATCAAGTAGTTGATTTGCAATATTTTACAAATAAATTATTTTTTGAACCTCGGGTTCACATTGATTTGTTCGAGGATCTAAATGAGAGAGTGATAATGCATTCAAATCTATCTCCTTTTGCATCTGCTTATTTTCTCCCCCTAATATTGGGTCTACTGATTCATTAAAATGAAAATCAACAAATCTTGTCGTAAATAAATCTCCAGTTATAGGTTCCAAATATTTTATAATAGAAGGAGATTCGTACCCAACATATATCCCCAATCTTATTTGGGGTCACATTTTTGTGGGTTGTGGTGGAACAATTGAAACATATACTGCACATCCAAATATTTTAAGATGGAAAATATTTAGCTCCTGACCAAAAGCCAATTGTATTGGGGAGACTTTATGATAACTTGTGGGTCTGATCCGCACAAGAGCTGTTGCATGCAAAATAGCATGGCCGCATGCCGAAATGGAAAGTTTTGTTCTCATAAGCATTGGTCTAGCAATTAATTTGAGGCGTTTGATCAATGATCCCGCTAGACCATTTTGAGTATGAACGTGAGCAACTGGATGCTCAATTGTTATCCCAGTTGATATGCAATAATCATTAAAGACCTGGGACGTAAATTCACCAGCATTATCAAGATGAAGTGTCTTAATTGTATAATCTAGAAACTGTGCTCTTAATCTTATTAATTGAGCTAGTAACATCGCAAAGGCCAAATTGCGGGTTGATAACAAGCACACGTGTGACCATCTTGTAGATGCATCTATCAAAACCATATAATATCTGAATGGTCCACATGGAAGGTGTATGGGTCCACATATATCACCCTTTATACGCTCCAAAAATGCAGGAGATTCAACTCCAACTTTAATTACTGATGGTCTAATAATCAGTTTTTCTTGAGAACATGCAGCACAAGAGAATTCTTTAGTTTGAAGAATCTTGTGGTTCTTCAATGAATGACCATGTAAATTCTCAATTATTTTGCGCATCATATTATAACCAGGATGGTCCAACCGGTCATGCCAAATAATAAAATCATTAGTAAACTCCTTGTTTATTATGGCATGTGATTCAACTAAACTAATCTTAGTGTAGTATAATCCGGAGGAAAATGCGGAAAGATTTTCAAGCGCATACTTCTTTTTCGCTTTTATTGTAGTAATATAAAGGCATTCAACATTTCCTTCATTGGTGGTGTCAATATGATAGTCATTTGGCGAATATCTTTGAAACTCAACAAGTTTCTTTGAGACCTACTACAATATAATACATCATTGACAGCCAATATAGTTCCTCCCGGTAGTAATACAGTCGCTCTTCCAGAGCCCTCAATTAATTTTGTACTACCAGATATTGTTATGATATTGGCTTATTTCGTAATTAAATAAGAGAAATATCTCTTATCTTTTAATATGGTGTGCATCGTAGCACTATCCAGAAGACGTATTTCTTCTTTATTATTCATAAGGCCAACTAAAGACTGAAAAATTTTCATATTCTTCAAGAAGAAGAAAAATACATCATAAGTAATATTAAAAAATTTAAGAACAAAAGAAACTACATTTATGAAATTAAATACTGACAACATAAAAGTTTTATTCAAAATATGAACATCATAAAAAGAAATATATTTATTCTTATAATTTTTCCCAATAATAAGTCTTCAGTTATGATTTTCAAATAAGTCTCCAGTTTCTAAATGAGTAATATCTACAAGGCCTTCAAAAATATTATCTTTATAGGCAAGGTTTGCTTCATATTTATCATGATTATTCATAGGGCCCGCCTCAACGTCATTTTGAAAAGTCAAGTGAGTCTCAACTTTATTTTGTTTCCCTTTTATAGATGCTTGATAAAGTTTGACAAAATGTTCAGGTGTACGACAAATTCGTGCCCAATGATATTTCATACTACATCGGTGGCAAACATTACCTTTGCCTTTTAAAGGATTATTCTGAGAACCCTTATTGTTCTCTTATTTATAACGACCACCACCATGACGATTATTATTGCGCCCCTTGCCACGCCCACGTATATTTATACGGCCACGATAATTATTGTCTTTTTTCAAACTTTGGATCTATCATTCCCAGATTCGCTTCTGGAAATGGAGCTGATCCAGTGGGGCGAACTTCATGATTTTTCATTAAAAGGGCATTATGTTGTTCAACCACCAAAAGGCATAAAATTAACTCAGAATATTTCTCAAAGCCCCTTTTACGGTATTGCTGATGTAACACCATATTTGAGGCATGAAAAGTGGAAAGAGTCTTTTTCATCATGTCCTCATCATTCATAGGTTCCATACATAATTTTAGCCGGGAAATTATTCTATATACAGCAGAATTATATTCACTTATGGTCTTATAATCTTGTAGCCGTAAGTGCATCCACTCACGACGAGCTCTTGGCAATACCGTGGCCTTTAGGTGGTCATATTGTTCC